GTCGGAAGAGACCCAAAGCCAGGGATGACTTTCCAGCACCGGTTCGGCCCACTATTGCCAGCCTTTCCCTCGGTTTGACATCTAATGTGATGTTTTTGAGCACTAAATCCAATTCCTGTCTATATTTAGTGCTATAGTTGGAGAACACTATTCCTCCCATTAGTGGCCAATCGGGCGGCGGTTTTGTCCGATCGTTGAACCACTCGGCCTTCAAATCACATAAAATGAGTTATTAATCATTAAAAACATAAATACTTTTCATTGAATACCTCTTCAGGTGTTTGAGTCAATTCAAGACACCTCTCAATAGAGACGATAAAAGTTTCGGTATAATTAATACTCGTTATAAAACTGTTTAAAACTAATGTTATGCTCAATGAGTAATTGATGGCCAGAGCTGCCAGTCCTGGGCTCAGACTATCTCTAAATATGACCGCAAAAATTGCGGCCAAAAACACAATACTGTTCCCAAGGAACTCCAGCCTTATGGACAGCCACTGTTCGGCACAGAAACCCGGATAATACCACTGATTATTATCGTCGATGCGACGGTGCGATTCCCTAATGAAATGTTTGGCCGCTCCATAGGCCCTGATGGTTGACGTGCCGTTAAATGTCTCACCAAAGTGGCTGATAATAGGGGAACGGGTGGTCGACTCGATGCGCTTGATTTGCCGGGAACTGGCGATATAAATGCGTTGACACACGACATACACTACAGTTATGGGAAGTATAGCCAATAAAATGAGTGGCGTTTCCAGAGATATCATTCCCAACGACACGATGACTGTGAAGAAGTTGCGGAGCATTCCTCCCAATACATAGACTATCTTCCCGTCAATGGTATCCATGTCCTGCGAGAATCGGTTCAGTATTCTCCCCATTGGTGTCGTGTCTGATGGGAAAGGGATATAAAAATAAGACTTAAAGTTCTTAACCAGAATATAACCAGAATTTCCTACCAAAGTAAGCCATGGGAGCTCTTACTATTCGTGCAATCATCGTGTTGTGCAGTTCCCTACCAGCCCTTACACACCTTAATCTTAACCATAGTTGTGCCACAAACAGGAACAACACTTCGACAGTTCCGATGATACCATAGACACCGAGTCTTTCATTACGTAACTCCTTATCGTTGGCCCGTTTGGTGTCGAGCGAGTCGTTAGACCAGTCGCTGAGCCACAGACCGGACAATACGGTCGCGACGTTAGCCCCGATGAACGCCAATAAAATGAATGCCAAACTCGAGTATCCAATCAATTGGAAGTACTTCTTGTAAACCATGAGCTTAACCGCACCTTTCGCTGATTTCTCCTCGTCTATGAGTTTTCCTTTGCTTTTATTTGTCTCTTCTTCAGTGATCTTATCACTACTTTTGGTCTCCTTTTGGTTCACTCTATCACTTGTAGACACATCTCGTGTGCGACTTCTTTGTCGGACAACAGTTTCATTGTCCGAAGATTTATGCGATTCTTGTCTTTCAATAATTGGTTTCACTCTTTGTCTCAGTTTTGCTAACATTTCCAACTCTTTCTCGTCTTCGATGTCCACCTCTTCTGACTCCTGTCTCAACACATATTCGGCAACAAATTCAGCGAATTCTTTACTTTTAGCCATCAGTTCATCAAATGATCCGAATTCAGAGATCAGTCCCTCCTTTAAGACAATTATTTTGTCGACTTCTGGCAAAATCGATGCCTTATGTGTCACTAAAATACGGGTTTTCTTCCGAAGAATGCCTTTCGGACCGATTGTCTCATCGAATAAATGTCTGCCGACGTGGGCGTCAACAGCACTGGCAGTCAAACAGGTATTCAATTAAATATAATAAAAATAATTTTATAATTAATACCTTAAGGGGTCGTCCAATAAGTAGATGTCTGCGTCTGAATAGACAGCCCTCGCGAGTGATACCCTCTGTCTCTGTCCGCCCGACAAATTGATTCCCTTTTCGCCGATTTC